ACTTGATATGAATTTCTTCTCTCGAAAAGAATCGAAAACAAGTAAAATATTCACTAAATTAGAGAAATAAATTCTTGATAAAATCAAAGGAAACAAATAAAAGTTAAAATTATTTGAATTATTTATCATTCTATTTCTATATTATAAAGTTCAATATAAAACGAATTAAAATATTGTGAACAACAATTATATCTTGTTACAATGATTGTAAATAGACGCATGTTTTAAGATGTGTCACCTGCCTTTTTTTTTCTTTCACTTAATCGCTACATATCCAAGAGCGTTACTTCTATTGTTTGTAAAGCGCGTTCAAATGAAAAGAACTGATGATGCGATGTACAGTTAACATCACACTCCACCGTTGATTTCCGGTATGTGCGGGATTTTTATGTTTCATTGATCGCCTTCCTCTTTTATTTCTTCTTCACTATAAAAACTTTGTCACCGGAACTTTCTAATTATTCGCTCACCTGCATTAAATAAGATACAGTTTTCGTTTACCATTTTTCGATCCTCTAATTGGAACGATAGTCTGATCATAAATAATAACAAGGGCGGTAGATGAATAACCTTTTCTGCTATTGTATATTATGTCCTAACAAAAGAAGAAAAGTAGCAAAACAAATAGTTAGCTTTGCTCGAATGCATTTACTGATGATAATGAACATCTTTGAAAACGATCATCTGTTGAAATCATTGATTTGGATAAAAAAAAGAAAAGAGCCAAATTATTAATCGACACAGCCGCTCAACATTTTTCTCTATAATCAATAAAATAACAGCAACAACAAAGACAAGTTCGACATTCTTTCATCTTGATTTCTATTCATAGAAATGCTGTTAACACAAGACGAGACGCCGGTGATTTGTCTTCACATTGATCACACTTCCGTTTTTTTCTTTTATACTTTTCACTTGACCATAAGTGAACAACAGACATATCTTTTCCATCATACAAAAAAAAAGAAAAACTTCAATTAGATCAAAACTTTAGAACAAAAAAAAAAAAAAACTGTGCGTGATAAATAGTTAAAATGTTGGTTAATAGATGATGACTTTTAGTGGATCGCACATCGTTTGATCCATGAATGTCTAAATAAAGGAGAAGAATGACCACGCAATGACAATAAGCAAAAATTAATCGGTGTTGACGAAGAAGACGACAACAGACGTAAGATGGATCGAAATATGTACGTGCTTTTCATTGTAGACAATAAGTGTCAGTTAATATTTAGCTAAAGAGCAAAAGAGAAACGAAGAGTAAATGAGTTAATTAATCGCGATTTTCTTTTTTTATTTTTCTTTTCCAATATTGACAAAGTTTTATGATAAAATATTGACGAGAAATTTTATATAAGACTATTTCGAAGGATAAACTTTATTCTATTATGTTGTTATTTGATCTGATTTAATAGAAAACTATTTATTGATGTGTTAACACAGAGAAGAAAAAAAAAGTAGCCACTGTCATTTTTTTTCTCTTTCTCTCTCTTTGTGTCCGTGTTGTGTGTTTGAATAAGGAAGAAATGAAGAAGAAGGAGGAAGAGAAAGTGTTAATGAACAGTTTTGTGATTGTTTTGTGTTGAATGTTGAATGTTGAATAGAAAAGAATTGTTCACACAAATGAAAATTTCTTCATAGATATTAATTGGCACGTGTTGATTAAAAAACATTAAAAAAAGAAAAAACCAAGAAAATGTTAATTAATAATTGTATATTATTATTTATTCTTATAAAAACTAGTTTATTAACAACATTAACAAAAACTTATCCAACAATTGATCTAAAAGAAAATATTCCAATAAATACAAATATTTTACAATTAACAAAAGAAGTAAAAAATTTGAAATTAATTTTATTAAATTTAGGTGGATTTGAAACAAATTTATTTTCAATAAATAATGAAAATTTATTTACAATAAATGAAATTGATCGTGAAAAATTATTAGGTGAAAAAAGATGTTTTGATCGTTCATATTGTTTAATTGAACTTCATATACTTGTTAATGATGGTGAACAATATTGGGTTATACCAATACATATTATTGAGTAAGTTTTATTATTTTATTTTATTATCTTTTGTTTTTTTCACATATACTACGAGATATTGTGTTCTATTTATGGTCAAACATTTAGTTATTTTTATATATGTACAAATAGCAAGTGTCGAATGAATTAACATTCTCTAAAATCATAATTTTTGAGGGTTAGATCTAGAGAAAAACTTT